ACCAGCAGCTCGAAGTCGTCCCTCCGCAGGTCCTCCAGGTTCATGGCGAACAGCGGGCTCCCCGGGTCGATGCGGTGGATTACGGTGGCCGGCGAGACCAAAACCACGTCGCTCTGCTGGATCTCCAGGTCCTGGTAGGTGACGTCCACTTTTCCCGTGGCGTGCACCGTGGAGCGGAATATCTGGGCGCACGCCGTTCCCTCCACCAGGTGGTTTCGGCGGAAGTCGCCCACCCTCCAGGAGAGGCACAGGTGGCCGTCCCTGAGGTTGACCACCGCGCAGTTGCTGAAGCCCACGGTCTGCGCGCGTTTCCGCGCGGACGCCATCTTGGCCACGGCGATGCCGATGACGAAGGTGTCCACGAAGCAGCTCACCACGTCCTGCACCGTGACCGCCACGATGGCCACCATGCAGTTCTCCGACATCCCCCGGAAGCCGTAGCCGATGGTGGTCTGGGTCTCCAGCGAGAAGAGGAAGGCCGCCGTGAAGCTGCGCACCTGGTGCACGCACAAAATTCACATATAATGCAATTTAATGCAATTAAAAAACATGAACTCTCATACATTCTGAATTCATTACAAATCACCTGAAATATCGCAAGCCTTTTATTGTTTTAATATAGCTGATTATGGCGTACAGCTGAAGAAAACTCAAAAATTATCGCAAGCCTATTCTTCCTATTTTTCTTGGATCGGGCTTTAAAGGGTTAAGAGCGCCGTCGTCCATGTATCGAAAACATGGACTTAGGTCTGGAAACCTCCTTCCTCTGGGATGGAATCCCACTAAGAACGAGAGGAAAACTTAGCTTTTTATAATCCAGAGCACATTGGATTGAAAGATCATTTACATGTTTTTTTTAATAATTTTACTCCCAAACATTTTGGTGGGTTAGTTTCCAGGAGATGGAGGTTTTGGGGGTTTTTTTGTCCACTTTTTGAGCTTTTTCTGATGCAATAAACTGCATGGTGGCCATCCTGGCGGTGACCGCCACGATGGCCACCATGCAGTTCTCCGACATCCCCTGGAAGCCGTAGCCGATGGTGGTCTGGGTCTCCAGCGAGAAGAGGAAGGCCGCCGTGAAGCTGCGCACCTGGTGCACGCACAAAATTCACATATAATGCAATTTATTGCAATTAAAAAAAACATGAAATGTCATACATTCTGGATTCATTACAAATCAACTGAAATATCGCAAGCCTTTTATTGTTTTAATATCGCTGATTATGGCTCACAGCTTAAGAAACCCAAATTTCCTATCTCAAAATATTAGAACATCGGATTTTTGACGCCAATTAAAAAACATGAAATGTCATACATTCTGGATTCATTACAAATCAACTGAAATATCGCAAGCCTTTTATTGTTTTAATATCGCTGATTATGGCTCACAGCTTAAGAAACCCAAATATCCCATCTCAAAATATTAGAACATCGGATTTTTTAGTTTTCTTCAGCTGTAAGCCATAATCAGCTATATTAAAACAATAAAAGGCTTGCGATATTTCAGTTAATTTGTAATGAATCCAGAATCCATGCCATTTCATGATTTTTAATTGCATTACAGAAAATAAATAACTTTATCACCATATTCTAATTTTCTGAGACAGTCCTGTATAAGGTTGATTTTAGTGGGTTAGTTTCCAGGAGATGGAGGTTTTGGGGGGTTTTTTTGTCCACTTTTTGAGCTTTTTTTGATGCAATCATTTTTATAATTGCATCATTGCATTTTTATAATTTGACTCCCAAGCATTTTCTTTTCATCCGATTGGTTTTGAGGTCTATTTTTAAGATGGAAATCTGGGAATGTTTTCTTTTTCCTTCATTTATGAGGTTGATTTTAGTGGGTTAGTTTCCAGGAGATGGAGGTTTTGGGGGGTTTTTTTGTCCACTTTTTGAGCTTTTTCTGATGCAATAAATTGCATGGTGGTCATCGTGGCGGTGACCGAGTAGATCAAGAGAAGAGTAGATCAAGAGTACAAATATGACATTTATTGGTCACAAGCAAAGTATATCAGCATTGGGCTCTCACAGACAAAGTTCCTGAGGGATCTCAGTCGGCAAGAGCCCAACGCTGATATACTTTGCTTGTGACCAATAAATGTCATATTTGTACTCTTGATCTACTCTGGTTTATTCTCAGGCTTCCAACTAAAGAACCGATTCTAACAAATGGTGCCGTGACCCGGATGCAATGGGTAGTTATCCTCTGGGCCAGGCCTCGAAGGGGGAAGACGGTTGGGCGTAGCCGAGCATCATTGGCCAGTTAGTTCGGTCATGATCAGGCCAGAGGCTCTTTGTTCATGCAGGTTTCGTGGGAATGTTATAAGAAAATGTGTGTGTGTATGTTGACCTTAAAGACGTGTATCTATTGTAACAGAGAGAGGAGGAGGAGGCACAGCCAGAGAGTTTAACCCAAAAGTAGAATTATAAATGGAATAATACGAATCTAAAAGGAATAATACAATCAGTCATTTACATGGATTAACTCATTCGCTGCCAAAGACGTCTATAGACGTCTTTTATGTTTTTTCAATGCGAGTGGCTTGGGGGACGATCGGCGAAAGTTTTCCCGTAAATATCGGCTTCTAGACAGAGTATGGACTAAAAAATTTACCCTCTAGGTAGCTGTGCCACTTTTGATGGGAGATTAGCATAGATTGTAAGCAAATAAAAACAAACGCAGTGGTTCGCTATGAGAGAAATGGCGCCGGTGAGACGCACGTCGAAGAAGAACGGAATAAGGTAGAAACAAAAAATTTTTTCCTGATGAAAGAAGAGAGTCTACTCTTTCTTTTGGTGTGTTCGGTGTTTACATAGTCATAGCACAAACTATTCTGTGGCTCTTGAAAAATCAGTCAAAATGCTCAAAAAACTCTGGCAGTGAGCGACTCTCTGTTCTGAAAATGGCTGGCAGTCAATGAGTTAAGTTATAGCATGTGATGCTAACGTAAGTAATTATAGCCCAATTCTAACTGCGCACCTCATAGACGCAGGGCTCCACGTTGGGGTCGCGCACGTCGCCGTGGGCGATGGCGATCACCCAGAAGAGCAGCCCGAAGAAGAGCCAGGACAGGATGTAGGACAGGGCGAAGATCAGGAACATGGCCCTCCACCGGATCTCCACCAGCGTGGTGAAGATGTCCGTGACGAAGAGGAGCCACTCCTCGGGAACGTGCCGGAAAACCACGTTGCAGCTGCCTTCTTTACGCACGTAGCGCCGCTTTTTGGTCCGCGCGCCGATCTCATCGGAGTGGCTCACCGACGCGTACTGACTGCACATGTTTAAAAGTCTGTGGGGAAAGCAGAAAAAAGCATGTTTGGCTCACTCTTAAAAGTTCCCAGGCATGCACTCACTAATTTTATTATTGTAATGTCATTTTCTGAACGTGTGTTTGTGTGTTTTGACTGATTTTGTCTTTTGTGATTTTGTGTTGTTTTGTCTTCCTGCCTCAGGACGACAGATGTAAATTAGCAACTATGCTAAAATCTGGCTCATTTACAATCTGAACTGAAGTGTAAGATTGTTTATTAATGAGCACTGTCCTGATTAAATAAATAAATAAATAAATAAAATAAAAAACGTATGAATCGCAATCCCTTTGTCCCCCCTGGAAGCCTCCTGAGCTTTTATGTTTTATGTTTCTGCATTTGGCAGATGCTTTTATCCAAAGCGACTTACAGAGTAGACACAATATTTCATTGATCATCACTATGACAATAAGCTGTACAGAGGAGAAACCCTGATCAGAGTCAGTGGTGAGATAGAGGTAGAGGTAGAGGTAGAGGTAGAGGTAGAGGTAGAGATAGAGGTAGAGATAGAGGTAGAGGTAGAGATATAGGTAGAGATAGAGGTAGAGGTAGAGGTAGAGATAGAGGTAGAGATAGAGGTAG